AATATCTCATGGCATGATTCTCCAAATAAGATACACTCTTAGAAAAAAAAAGCAAATCTCCCATTTTAAATGCTATGTATAATTTAACATGGTTTAGAAAAAAATTGAATAACTTTGAGAATTTTGCTCCTCATTTCCATAGCAATTTCATGGAAACACTTCCTCAAAATGAAGAGCCCACCTTCCCTACTCAATTCCTTCCAATTAAACTGGAATGAAAATTCTCCCCCGTTTACTCACATCAGAGTTGTCACAGACACTAATATTCTTGGTTAAACAAAGTACACAATGTTTTGAAAAACAGGGGAAAATATATATTCTTTTTCTCTGGTAGAGTGGTACCTCTATCTTTTCTTCCTACCAGAAGCAAAATGTTCCCCATTCTTCATTTACATATTTCTCCTTTAAAAGACCTGCCTTCTTCTATTCTTTCAGTCTTACAGGTAAAGAGGTATTAAAAATCTATTTCTTACTCCTCTGGGTCATTTCCAAACTACTATCTCTGTCTCTCACCTTAGAATTTAGACTTGGAATCCAGAAGGAGCTGAACAGTCAAGTACAAGAAGAGGATGGAGAAGATAATATAAAGAAAAGCAAAGATACCATGTTTGAGGACTAACTCAGGGCATAAAACAGAGATTTGCTTCTCTCTGGAACTGCCTGGATTCCTGTTGGCTTTTTAGGCATTGTTTATGATGAAAGTGGGCTCTATTATTTAGTACAGTCTCCTTTCTTGCAACCAAAAGGACATAATTAACTGGCATCAAACTTCATTCACCCTGTACTTCACCTACCCACTTTCATGGCCACACCCTATTCTTTCTTGTTAATCAGAACAACCTCACATCTGGAATCTTAAATTCAAATTTATATATACATCCTTCTAGGTTTAAGATTCCCTTACTCCATTATAACTTGTTTTCATTCCATCAAGATCCTCTTTCCTGTCCCTCCTCTTATTTGAGTCTACCTTACCTACCCTTTCATAGATCCACTTCCTTCCCTATTAACCCTAACTCTTTGGTGCCTTACTGCATAGTTTCCCTAATGGATCTGCTCCCTTGTCTTTCTGATACATCTGCCCCAGTCCCTTGGCTTGCTCTCCCTCTCTACTGGTTCCATCTCTAAATCTCTAAACATCCTCAAGGCTTACATATCTGTTTCTAAAATCCTTTTTTCTTTATGTCTACTTCCTCAGACTTCATGTGCTCTCTACGGTCATTCTCACCAAAGCTCCAAAGCTACACTAGGCAAGTCATCAGTGACTTCCTAATTGCTAAATCTTACTAACTCTTCTTGGGCCTTATCCTATCACAGATATTTGAGGTATGGATCACTCCCTTTCTCCTGAAATTCTCTGCTCCCACATTATTCACTTCCGGTTTCTTCTTTACCTTACAATGTTCCCCATTCTCTATGTGTTCCTTAAATGATTATGTCCACAGTGTTGTTTCCTAGCACTTCTCATTGTTCACATTCTCTCTAGGAAATTGCTTCCATAGCTTCACCCACAAGTAATATACAAATATATTCTACTAATTTATATCTCCAGCCAGGTTGTTTCTCTTGAGCTTCACACCTGTAGAGCTAAGCACCTATTAAAAATTTCCTTTGGGCTAATTTACATGTACCCCCAAACTTCATATGTCTAAAATTGTTCCCTCTCCAGTATTCCCAGTCTTAATAGATAGGTCATTCAACTCATGTTTCCAAGTGGAAATTAAGGACTAATTTTTTATTCCATCTGCTCTCAAAAATAAGAACTAACCAACCAAGTCCTATTAATGGTACTATATATATTATATATAATATAATATATGCTCTCCATAGTATATAGTATAATATACTATATAGTATATATATACATAATATATATATATATGCTCTCCATTTTATGCTATCATTGTACTTTCCATGTTGTCTTGGTAGCAAGGATTTTCTGAATAAATTAACTGTCTCAAATTTTGATCTGCCTACTGCCTAAAGCATTCTCTGCATGTTACACAATGATCTTTCTAAAGCATGAATCTGGCCATATCTACACCATACCATCCATCCTTCAAGGCACTATTTACAGGGAAAGCCCAAACTCCTTAGCATGTACAGCAGTGCCCCCTTATCTGCAATTTCACTTTCAACAGTTCCAGTTACCCCAGGTCAAGTGCAGTCTGGGCACAGATAATATATTGCCAGAAGGTCAATTGTGGCCTAATACTCCACCACAATGCCTAACTCATTCACTTCATTTCAATTTCATCTCATAATATAAGCATTTTATTATCACACATCATCACCAGAAGAGATGTGAGTATTGTACAATTAGACATTTTGAGAGAGAGAACACCTTCACATAACTTTTATTACAATATATTGTTATTGTTGTTCTGTTTTACTAGTTCTTATTGTTAATCTCTAACTGTGCCTAATTTACAGATTAAACTTTATCATAAGTATGTATCTATAGGTACAACATAGTATATGCAAAGGGTTTGGTATTATCTGCAGTTTCAGGCATCCACTGGGGTCTTAGAACGTGTCCCACTAGGTAAAGGAAAAATACTGTAATATACGGTTTCCTAATCTGATAGCTGCCTCACCTGTTGTCACACTCACATATCCTCTTCCACGTACACCAAACCTTCTAATGTCATATTTGCGTGTGACTGCTCTAGCTGCCAAGAAAGTCCTCCTCATCCATCTACCCCGTCCTACAATTGCTTTTTTTGCCTGTCTCTTAAATTCCTTTTCCCTTCCCTTCTCCTGTCTTTTGTTGTCTTTCTTTGTTCTCTTTCTTACATTGATGAACAGATACATTTTGGAAGAACTTGCAGCCAAGATGAATATGGGAAAGGGAAAGAGGCAGGAAAGGAAAGGTAGAAATTAATAATACAGCTTTCATGCTCCAGTTTTTTCTTTCCCTAAATAAGAGACAAAAGGCAAATCATACTTCAAAATAATTAGATTTTTATCGTGAATATTTTTCCTTTCTTTTTTTTTGGTTTCTGGGACCCCATGTAATAGCTTTTCTGATTTGTAAAATCTATCCAATGGTTACCTTGTTTTGTTTGGTTTCAAACATGTGGCCCTGCTCAGATTAGCTGACATGATGTGTATGCAAAGTCTTCTGAGTTCTTCAGAATAATAAACTGTTATAAGGAATCTCATTTGGCTAATCTAGTAGGTACAAATTTTATGGTCACAAATCTCAGATGTAAAAGAAATGCCTTTTTAAATATTCTATATAAACGTAATTTCACTATCTCCCCTAAACTCTCAACAGCTGAGAACTCAAAAAACATATTTCTTTCAATCTATTGTCAAGTTCTGATAACACTTTGCTTTTTAATGTTATAAACAATTTATGTTTTGTAATACAGTTGAACTTACTTGGAAGTTCTAGTAGAAATTTCTATTTTTCTTTAACGTTTTGGTTTTACTCACTGATTTTTATGTACAGGCAATCCTTATTACTTGTAAACTCACTTATTTGTTAAAATTCATTTGTATCCCCAAATCAATATCCACAGTGCTTTTATAATTATTCCTAGACATGTGCATATACAGAGAGGGGATAAATTTGAGGGAAACTACCTATGTGCAGTTTCCAGCAGAGGTTAGAGAAGGTGACGCTCTCTCTGCCCTTCTCATTACAGCTGTCACACTATAAGCAAGCTTCCTTTCCATAGTGTATTTAGTACCATGTTTTTCACATTTTTGTACATTTTGGTAATGATTTCACTGATTAAAATGGCCCCAAACATAGTGCTGAAGTACTATTGTCCAGTGTTCATAAGCACAAGAAGGCTGTGATGTGCCTTACAGAGGAAATATGTGTATTAAATAAGCTTCCTTCAGGCAAGAGTAATAGTGCCAGTGGCTGAGTTCATTGTTAATGAATCAACAATCCAGTACATACAGAAAAAGGCGGAGAAAAATTGCTGATCTGAACACGTGGCTGCTCTAGAGAGTTCTAAAGCGTAATCACTGTGTGATGAAGCCATGGAAAAAATGGAAAAGTGGCATAATATGTGGGTTCATGAGATGAGGATTAATTTTTTAAAAACGTAGTGGACAGCATTGTTGAGACAGTGAAAGCCAAAAAATTATGGTAACTGACTTGCACAATTCAAAAGGCCATCTGGTGTGAAGAATGTTCAGCTTGAAGGAGTAGCAATTTCTGCTATCAGGAATCTTGGGAACAATATTTTAAATATCTGCTAAAGTGATCCCTGGGTGGCTCAGCAGTTTAGCGCCTGCCTTTGGCCGCGATCCTGGAGTCCCGGGATCGAGTCCCGCGTCCGGCTCCCTGCATGGAGCCTGCTTCTCCCTCTGCCTGTGTATCTGCCCTCCTCTCTCTCTCTCTCTCTCTCTCTCTCTCTCTCTCTCTCGGTCTATCATGAATAAATAAAAAATAAAATAAATAAAAGTAATATGACGTTTTGTGGAGGATGGTTTTAAATGAACATATTTGTCTAGTGTCTGAATGTATAGCAGCGTGTGATTGAAAAGAAAAACAAATGTTTTTGAGAAATGAATTAATTTCTTAAAACAGATTTGAACTGGATAAAGTTCTCTTTTAGTATTTTTCTTCATTTTCATTTTGTACCTGTTAAAGCAATAATACTAGTTTTTAGAAAATCTCTTTATTAAAGTTATGTAAAGAGTAGCACGAGTTAAATTCAAAACTAAGCTTCGACCTTCTCTACTTAGGAAAAATGTTGTGAAAACCAGGCCATCTGCTGAGGTACTAAGTTACATTTGGCCCTCAGAATGTGTTTGACATGCTCTGTTTTAGCACTCTGTTGGATTATTAGCCCACAAAACAAGTTCACCTTGATCTTTTATGTTAAACATAAAGTAGCTCAGGGACAACACTTGACATAAACCTATGACGTTTCCATCTAAAGAAGGCAGAAATAAAACGGAGCTGTGGGCTAGATTACAATAAAACATCAGAAGCGCCAGAAACACAAGTCTTGAAGCTCCATCAGTAAGGAAATATGGCAAGTGCCTCTCCTGAACAGAATCAAGATCACTGCTCAGCCGTAAACAACAGCAACATGCTGATGCAGGGCAACCTCCCCACCCTGACCTTATCTGGGAAGATCCGAGTGACAGTTACTTTCTTCCTTTTTCTTCTCTCTACAATTTTTAATGCTTCTTTCTTGTTGAAACTTCAGAAGTGGACTCAAAAGAAAGAGAAAGGGAAGAAGCTCTCGAGAATGAAAGTGCTTTTAAAACATCTGACCCTGGCCAACCTGTTGGAGACCCTGATTGTCATGCCACTGGATGGAATGTGGAACATTACAGTCCAATGGTATGCTGGAGAGTTCCTCTGCAAAGTCCTCAGCTACCTGAAGCTTTTCTCCATGTATGCCCCAGCCTTCATGATGGTAGTGATCAGCCTGGACCGCTCCCTGGCCATCACGAGGCCTCTAGCTATGAAAAACAATGGCAAGCTCGGACAGTCCATGATTGGCCTGGCCTGGCTCCTCAGTGGTATCTTTGCTGGACCACAGGTAAACCAGATCATGAACTTGTTAGCATATGGCAATCACAGATTTCCTATCTACACTTGACTACTGTATGCAGCATTGCATGTCAAAGGCAGTATTGTCGTATCTTGGAGAGCTTGGACTCAGGAAATTAGAGTGGAGTTTAATCCCGGCTCTGTTGCCTTGGGCACATCTTTTAGCTTCTCTGGGTTTCAGTTCCTTCATTTATAAGATGGAGGTAATGCCTACTTTATGCAGCTTTCATGAAGATTAAATAAACAATGTATTAAAGTGTCTGGCATAATCTCTGGTATGTAGTAAATGCTCCTCAAAAAATGCAGCTATTGTCAAATTTGACCTCATCCCCATCTTATTCTTTCAACTAGTTTTCTTTTTTTTTTTTTAAGAATTTATTTATTTATTAATGAGAGGCAGAAAGAGAGGCAGAGACATAGACAGAGGCAGAGAGAGAAGAAGGCTCCATGCAGGAAGCCCGATGCAGGACTCAATCCTGGGTCCCCAGGATCATACCCCAGGCTGAAGGCAGACGCTCAACCGCTGAGCCACCCAGGTGTCCCTCAACTAGTTTTCCATTCACTCTGATTAATATGGTAAATTGAGAGAATTTTTAGGAACTGTGAAATTTGCACAAGTAGGAAGTGTTTATAATCTGTGTCATTTGGGACTTCTTGAGGGAAACTATCCTGTCTTGTTGCAATTTAGAATGATTCTCAACTAGTATGTTGTTCTGTAGTTTGCAGCTGGGTGGGACTGAACAAAGAGGAAAAATAAGAATCCTGGACTATTGAAATTTGAATATTTCCCTGAGCTTGACTTGAGCTTATCTGGAAGTAGGCTGGACTACAACAGGCTGTTAGCAAAATTAAAATTGTTGGTGTAGGCAGAGGCCCTCTGGTATAGGCAGATACTGCCCCAGATTGCTCTCATCAGAGGCAACCTGATTAATTGGCCTGCAGAATCTGTCTTTTTCAGCAGTCATATCTCTGAAGAAAATGACACATTCTTACAGATAGCAAAGATCCTTTAATGACTGATAAGTAAATTGTCCCTAGACATACCCTGATGATGAACCCAGGGTCCAAAGATGTGTCGAGAAGTAATGTCAAAGTTAACTAGAATGTTCCAAAAACTGGCCACTACAAATGGAAGTTATCTAGACATTCTAAATGAGCCAGGTGGTTAAAAAAATAAAGAAACAAAAACAAACAAAAAACCTGCCTTGCAGAACCCACTAAATACATTAAAGCACCAGAAAGTTGGATTACCAAATTTTCCCACCAATTCCTCACTTAACTAATACTTTTTGGATATTAGATCAATTTAATTAGGGTGTATTTTATGGCAGGAGAAATGGGAAATGCTAGTGTTTTGATTTCCCTGGAGAAAAGCATATTATAATGATTCTCACAGTGACTAAATATACAAGAATAGGTTTAGTGAATGTGTCTCTCCAAATGAGGTTATTTAGCTAAGGCTTATGCCTAAAGTTTCCATTTCATTTCTTTAAATTAAGAGTGCTCCTTACTTACTGGTTTTCTTGGGGAAGATAAGCAAGTTAGGCTCTTCACACTGAGTCTGATACTGAAACAAAGAAACAGCCCTCAAAGGAAATGTAATTCAGTTGTGGAGACAAAACTTATATAAAACTAATGCAACTATATACTAAACATTTTTTAAATCTATTACAAGTGTAAGAAGAAGGAGAGATGAGTAAGAGTGGAAATGGGGAAGGAATGTTTTAAGGTTATAGGTAGGATACGTTGAGTCTTTTAAAATGAATGGTATTTGGATGGAAAAAAATAAGTCAAAGATCACATGTATTTTTCAGCAAGAGTTGAAAAGTGTGCTTAATTTTCAGACTTCTCTGGCTGAAGTAAAAGATTGAGAGGTGGGATAGCAGGAAATCAGATTTGGTGGTTGCTCCTTTTCTTCCACCTCATAGCACATTATTTGTCATAAAACATCATAATTATGCATTTGCTTGTCTTTGCTATAAAGGAATATACTCTTGAATGATGGAGACTCCATTAAGTTCAACTTAATTAATATTTACATTACCTAATAAGATAACTAGCAAAAATAGAAATTTAAAATGTTTGCATAATGTGATTTCTCTTCAGATCAAATAAATCCTTCACCTTTTCCTTAAACAAAAACTTCAGATGGATGAATCAGTGAATGGGGGTATGATGGACCTGGATTATAAAAGACAGTAATAATCATGGGGAAATTCTGAAATTAATGTGGGAACCATAAATCCTTTGTGAGTCCTGGGCAAGAAATAAAGTGATTTTTTTAACAAAAATACTTTTAGAAAATTTACATAGACCCAAATAGACATGAGAGACAGAGAAATCTTTTCCAGCTTTTCTGGCAATGAGGTGATTAGGTTGGTGGCTAAAATAGTCTCAGAGAGAACTGATTGTAAGAGGGACGTTTCAAACAAAAAAACAAAGCTTGGCAACAAATTGGATTTAGGGAGTTAATAACCAGAGGGGTGTAAGCTACAGCTCCAATACTTTTAGCCAAGGAGTTTTAACAACCATTGAAATAGGCAGGTAGATTGAGAAAAGGAGTGTTTGCCTCTTTGTTTCTCTGTTTGTTTGACAGGGAGGGGGAAGGCAGGCTCTGAAAGAGCTGAAAACATTTGCTTTAGGACATAATGTTACCAATATGAGGTCATTGTATAAGTACAGGTATTTGGAAAGTAAGTTAGGATACTGATGAAGGTCAGTTTATGATAATAACTGAAGTGCAAACCAATAACATCAGTCTCCCTTAAAGGACTGTCCCAGAGGCTATAAAAAATATATTGATTTATTAATTCAATTATTTTCATCTAAGTATATGACAGCAATAATAGAAAGGTAGTGTCAAATACTTATCTATCTTGATGTAGTAAAAAGAAAATATGAAATTAAATTTGAATTGTTTAGGATGTCCCTGTAATAGCCTGACCTCAAACACATTACTCTTCCTGAGAGATTTATGTGAAGATGGGCCACAGAAAATAATGGTATTATTTTATGGTGAAACACATGACTCATCCACAGCAGCAGATTAAATTTACAAAGCACTTTACTGAAGTTTCCTGAAAAAGCCCATTCTTTGCAGTACATAACAGCCATGTATATATTATCCCTATCCAGTGCATCAGAGAATGTACAAAGAAGTTTGAGAGCAGTGGCAGGCAAATACTTCTGGCAGTAACCCAACAGACTTTGAGAAAATTTTTCATAAAATAAATATTCAACTGTGTTTCATTTCATTTTTTAATGTTGATTGCAACTAACCAATGGGTACAATCTGCAGTTCAAAAACAATAGTCTGCAGGGATTCATTGACTTTCCCAGGGTCAGTTGGGTTGTTGGACTCATGCCTTTTTATTAAGTCTAGGTTTTCTTTTTATTATAGCTCTCTGCTTTCTCTCTGAATAGAAGAGGTTTTGAATCCCATGACTAATGCTTACATATATTAAATGGGGAGGATAAGAGATTGAAAGGGCACATTTCTATCTCTAGACTGGCACATACCAAGCCCTCCTCATGCTTCACCATGCAGTGGAATGAGCCCATTGACAAAGATGCATCCCGTAGGCTAATTTACACTGAAAGGATGACCTTAATCATCATCCTCTGGTGCATATATTGATCGTCTATTACTTGAGTAATTCTATGATGGTTTGAGGATATATTTTCAGAAGTTTCAGCATAGCCTAGCTGAACTTTCAATTTTTTTCTTAGTAAATGGAATTTTTTAAAAAGCAAAATTCTATCTGGGGTCCCAATACATGAAACATATAAGTGGAGCTATTCTTGTTGAAGAGGGATAAGAGAGGCCAGTCTTCTGCTTGGGCATTCACTAGCCCCGTTCATGGTCTCTGAAGACCTTAGATCTCCTGCAGCAAAGCTTGGAAGGCAATGGAATAGTAGAAATGGCATGAGTATGGGTTTTAAACAAAGTTGGTTTCAAATCTCAATGCTGTCTCTTACTATCTCTGTGGCTCTGAGTAAATCACTTAACTAAATTTAAAAGAATAAAGATAATGGTGAAGAATAAATTGTAAAGAATAAGATACATAAACTCACCTAGTACAAGAATTTATAATTGGACATTCCATTAATGTTCATTCCTTCCCCTCTGCCTGTTTTCACTCCTTTGTTCATAATAGAGTTTTTGAAGTCAGGAGGGAAAATAACAGGAAATATGAGTATAAAAACTACATGATTCTTTAAGGGACTGCAAAGATAATTGCTTATATGAAGATTGATTATTTCTAATTTCTCAAATTATAGCATTCAATGTGACTGATAAGTCAGTTTAGCCAAACTACCTCCTAGTCATCAGGCTATCCTACTCATTCTGAAAGCTATATATGCCAAAGCATAATAATTTAAGTCTTGAAGGTATTATTTGTAACAGTAATATAAGGATGAATGGAAGAGGGACACCTGAGTGGCTCAGTGGTTGAGTGTCTGCCTTTGGCTCAGGTCATGATATCAGGGTCCTGGGATCGAGTCCTGCATCAGGCTCCCCACAGGGAGTCTGCTTTTCCCTCTGCCTATGTGTCTGCCTCTCTCTGTGTGTCTCTCATGAATAAATAAATAAAATCTTCAAAAGAAAAAAAAAGATGGATGGAAGGAAGAGTGAGGGATGAAGAGGGAAAGAGAGAGCAAGAAAAGAATAAGGAAGGAAAGGAAGGGACAAACATGAAAGGAAATCTGCCTTAAAACCATGTGTGGTTAGGCTGGTAAGTGCATGTTGAGGAGAAAACATTTCCTGAATTAGGTGTGTTTATATCTAATCAAAAATCATATGGTTTCCAATGGCAATCATCTCCCACCACAAGAATCATTTGCAGAAGTTCATACCACTAGTTTTTCTGTGTTAACGTGGAGCATTACATGCTGACAGGATTTAAATTCTATCATTAACCCAGGTTGGAAGGCAAGATAGATGAGACGTCCTTTGGTCTTTGGTGTAAAGATATGTGATCTGAAGAT